GGGCCAAGTCTATCCATTTGGAGTAGGAGTCCACTACAGCCAGCCAGGTCGATGTGCAGGCGAGACCAAGGGGCACTAGCACTCTCCCACTTGGTGGGCGTGGCAGCTGGTGGGGCAGCCCTGGTTTCTTGGCAAGGTTGGCATGAGCTTACCCAGCTGGCGATTTGGGCATCCATGCCGGGCCACCAAACGTAGCTGCGGGCCAGAGCCTTCATCCTTACGATGCCCGGGTGGCCCTCGTGAAGCACCTTCAGGATGGGTACACGAAGAGTGGCTGGAATGACTACCCTTGTACCCCACAACAGACATCCTTGTAGCTTCGATAGTTCCTGCTTACGGGTTTTAAAAGGAGCAAAGTCAACGGTACATTGAGTTTCCGGCCACCCCCTTCCCACCCAGTCCAGTACCTGGGCAATTATCTTGTATTTTTTTGAGTGCGCAGCAATGTCCTCGGCTGTAACCGGTAATTTAAGTTCATTAACTTCAAAAATGGCGTGAACCGGTGCTGGGTCTTCGACTGGGACTGGTAGGGGGCAGCGACTAAGGGCATCGGCGTGACTCAAGTTTTTGCCAGGTCGATGCACCAACTTGAATGAGTAAGCGTCCAGGAACAAAGTCCATCTGGTCATTCTAGGTGATAGTACCTGCGGGGTTTGCTTATCCCCTGATAAGAGTCCCAGGAGAGGTTTATGGTCAGTTACAAGTTCAAAATGGTGCCCAAACAAAAATTCGTGAAACTTTTTAACTGCAGCCACCGCAGCCAGGGCCTCTTTATCTATTTGACTGTAGTTCCTTTCTGCCGTAGAGAAGGTCCTAGAGAAGAAGGCAATTGGTGCCTCGGAACCATTGGGAAGTCTGTGGCTTAGGACAGCCCCAATCCCAAAAGGGGATGCATCAGCCGCTAGGACCAGGGGAAGTCGTTGATCAAATTGAATTAAAACTGCATCCGATGTGAGTAAGGATTTGACTGACTTGAAAGCATGGGCTTCTTTGGGTCCCCAATGCCAGGGGGATTCTTTGTCTAACAGCCTGTGTAAGGGTTCAGCGATAGATGCTTTGTGCGGGAGAAATGAAGCGTAAAAGTTTAGTAGCCCCAGAAAAGCTTGGAGCTCCGTCTTGTTAGTTGGTGTGGGCGCCTCATGGATGGCCTTTACCTTGGATTCGATTGGGTGGATGCCAGAGGCGTCTATCCTATAACCCAGAAAGTCCACTTGCCTAGTGGCGATGGCGCACTTCTCCCTTTTAAGTTTGAGGCCATGCTGCCTAAACTTCTCTAGAACCGCTCTGACCCTCTGTATGAGCTGAGGTCTGTCAATTGCTGAGACTAAGATGTCATCGAAATAAGGGACAACCCCTGGGAGACCTTGGAGAATCCTTTCCATGAGTGATTGGAATATACCCGGGGCTACACTTACACCGAATTGGAGGCGTTTACACTTGAATGCCCCTCTATGTGTGACTATGGTTTGTAATTCAGCTGTCTGATCATCAACAGGGAACTGTTGGTATGCCTGGGACATATCTAACTTGGCGAAAATGGTGCCGGGTTCGAAGGTGTGTAACAGGTGCTGAATAACAGGGACAGGGTATGCGCTGACCTGCAGGTAACGGTTGAGGGTGGTTTTATAGTCTGCGCAGATTCTTAAACTGCCATCTTTCTTGAGTGGGGTGACTATGGGGGTCTCCCATTTGGCAAAATCAGTTGGTTCTAACACCCCTTGCTTTAGTAACTTATCCAATTCTGCGTCTAACTTGGGACGGATGGCGAAAGGCACCCTGCGCGGCTTAAGGCGCAGAGGAATTGCCTGGGGGTCCACAGAGAAGGAGATGGGGGTGCCAGAATAGCAACCCAGCTCGCTGCTAAACACATCAGAGTAATCTGAAAATAGTGCATCTACGTCAGAAGTTGAGACAGCATGGATCCCAGTTACACTAAGGCCGAGGGAGGGGAACCAATCTAGCCCCAACAGACTGGGGAGGGCACCATTAACAACCACTAAAGGCAAATGGCCTTTAAAGGCTTGGAATTGAACTAAAAACTTGCCTTTCCCGAGGACAGGGATGTTCTTGCCCTGGTAGTCCCGCAGTGTCAGGTGGCATCTCTGTAGCTGCTTCTTCGACAGTCTGGGCTGGATCTTCTTTAGGGTTTCCCAGGAGATGATTGAAAGTGGAGATCCCGTGTCTACCTCCATCCTGCAGGGTTTACCTTCTAGGGAAACAGAAATTTTGATTTTATTAGGAGTCTGGGAAGTATGGTTAGCGTGGTAGCAGGTATAGCAGTCCTCCACTTGCCTTTGGGAATTAGAAGGCGGTGGAGGTCTTTGAGGCAAAGTACGCCCTGCTTGGCAGACTCTAGCGAGGTGACCCTTCTTTTGGCAGTTCAGACAGATGGCATTCTTAAACCTGCAGGATGCCCTAGAGTGGGAGCCTCCGCAGGTTAGGCAAATGGGAGGTTGTTTGGGGGCGAAGTTGTTTCTCTGCCCCGCTCCTACCTGTGAAGACTTCTGTTGCTTTAGGCGGTTAATGTCTGATGAGTCTGTGGGGTCTTCTTCATTGAGCACTTCCTCTGAATGGATGGTGGAATTGCTGGGCTTTAACGGAGTACCTTGAATTTCAGCTGCTGATTGGGCAGAGAGCTCAGCAGCTTGGGCTTCCTCCATGGCTAAAGCTAGGTTCAAGTCCTTTTTTGCTAACAAACGTCTTTGGAGCCTCAGGTCTCTAACCCCACAGACGATCTGGTCCAATAACATGTCTTCTAAGTAGTCTTTGAACCCACACTGCAAGGCAGCTGTCCTCAGAGCTGCCATATACTCGTTGATTGACTCTCCCTCTGCCTGTTTTCTAATTCTGAAGGCGTATCTCCTGGCTATCTGAGATGGTTTTGGCGAGTAGTGGTTGGAGAGGATTTCTTGGAGTTCATCCCACGGTACGCTTCTGATAGTGCGAGGGGCGACTAGTGCTGTAGCGGTGTCAAAAACTGCAGCTCCACAATAGCTGAGGAAGTAGGATTTCTTCCTGTGTTCAGCAGCGTCTGCTAAACCGATGGCATCGAGGAAATAGCTGAAACGATTTTTGTATGAGTCCCACCTTTCCTCGGTTGGTTTGAATGGTGGGAATGCTGGATTAGCATTCATTTTGAAGATGCAGGGTTCGTCCTCTTCAGTCGTATTTCGAAATTCGCGCTCTTAGAAGAACGCTGACGGTTTGCGCTGACAGGCGGTGACTGTCTCTCTAGGCTACGGAGGCTTTTTGAATTTCACGCTCTTTGTGAGCGCCGGCGGCTGCAGCTACAGCGCCCGTGGCTTCGCTTTCAGTGACTACAGCTCAAAAAGCTACGGAGGCTTTTTAAATTTCGCGCTCTTTGTGAGTGTCGGCGGCTGCGGCTTCAGCGCCAGTGGCTTCGCTCTTCAGTGATCACAGCTCTTTTTGAAAAACACGTCTGGCTAGCCTTCGACCATATCCCACCTTCGTCGCCAGTGTTGTAGAGCGGCGGAAGGAAGAGGCAAGAGCCAGAGTGAAC